AAAAAGGTTCCTCCTTACCAAATCCAGCGTAATGTGTCGACGTGGTCACGTCAAACATACATGTAAGCTTACAAACATGGTTTTGGAACGCGTCCGTAAGCGGTGGCCATTTGCAGACAATGGCGGCGGCGCAATGCGCGGGAAAATCGATGCATCCCACCGCACTTTGCGAAATCGCTGACTATACTTTGTGGGATGGATCACTTTATTGACTCGTAATTGCTTTTGGGCATTGCCGTTTTAGTTATAGCGATGAATATTATAAAATAAAATAAGGTATGAAGTACTTCTACAGCCAAACATGTACTTTACTTTGTATATTTGTCGTTCAATAGTTTAAAGCAAATATAACTTTATTGACTACTGTCAAATTGACTAATTGATAGAATAAATAAATTATATATTTGGCAGTCGTGTTTTGTGATTGACAAATGTTGAGTCAAAGTAAGAATTTATTTACTGGTAATCCTCATCGTTTAAGTGTCATGAGACTCACCCTGCGTTATGAAGTGTAGAGGCCTGCATCTACCCTCTTGACTCGATTGCATAATCGATTTATGCTAATTAGATATTTCATTTATGTTTTTCTAGTACAAACACATAAATGAAATACAAATTTTGTACCTTGTATTATTTGTAAATCTTAACCAACACGTTAAACAAATACCTATATCGGGAAAAAACCAAACTGATATTAAGTACATACTCTTATTCCAATTTTTAAAACGAAAACAAAACCATGAAGATTTTCTTTTCGTTTCTAATTAACTGTGACGGCCAATGTTATTGCTGGTAGGAGAACTAACAGAGTTGCATGTGCGCCTGCCGTTAAGAGGTTTGTGTGTCTTCATTGTGTGTACTTATTTAAAAAATACACAATAAACAGTAGAAAAAAACTATTGTGTATATATTTTTATTGCTATTTCGAATAATATTGAATGAGATATAATAATTATGTGTTTGGTCTCAAGGCTAAGCATACTTGGTTTTGTTTTGAGCCGACATTTTGTTTTCCATTTTAACGTAAGCGTAGAGTAAGGATAGTACGTTTATCAAATGTTTTGTTGCAATACTTATTGTTATCGCAGTTAGTTCAAGTTAAACTTTGAATAAACTTAAGTTTTAATTGGCAGATGCTCCGTTCTTTTTACTTTTACCTAAAAGTTTTTTAGGAATGCATTTATCTGAGCTGATCTAAAACTGAATATATTTTAAGATAATTAACTACTAACAAAAAACATAATCGAAGAAAAACGATAACGCAGAAAAAATAAGAAATAAAAAGAATGAATGTTCACCAAATTGTTCAAAGAGGATGTAATCCGTTTCAGGCCCTTCACTTACCCGTCCCAAACCTTATTTTTCGATTGTGTTCTATGTCGGTGTTAACAAATAATATGTCAAGCAAGACTCTTGAGTGCAATATACCCCACAATATTACATAATTATATCGTAAATTCTCTTAGCTATGCAAATCAAAATGCAAATACCACGGAAGAATAACTTTTAGGAGTCATAAAATCAAGATGAATATTATTTAAATTCACCTTGTTGAGGCGTCTGTAGGTTGTAAATACAAAATTCATGTGATTTTAAACGCTTCAAATATTTATGCACATTTTAATTGAATATTCAGTCACAACTATGGTTTTATAGCGTCAACCCTTTAGGTACACCATGGGTCTTTGTGACCGGGTATAATAGATCCTATTCGCATCAATGTCGTAAATTTAAATGGGTTTTTATGGGTCCTGTAAAAGGCCAAGTGTATGGGAAAATTACGGTTAGTAAAGCATTTTACTGTCTAAATTTCAATAATTATTTACTATTGTTTTAGTTTGTGGGAAAATGTAATTTATCGCCAGCAATGTAATATGTTGAAATCTTTGTACTTATTGATTTTTCGACTCAATGATTTATTATTTATAATCGACTGTCATTTATTACCGTTTTCCCTCTATAATGTGTTATTTTTCGATAGTATTAAACAGTACATTTTTCTAAATTAAATTTTGTACATTTCTGACAACGACTAAGGGAGGAACCCTAATATATCACAACTATTGGCAACAACTTCTAATATTTTGCATAAAAATACATACCTACTTATGGATACAAATATAATCATGATATTGGAACAAATTATTCACTTCCAGACAAGATCAACCAAATAACTTAGCGTACTTACATCGCTGTGACATTTTGCCCCCACGTGACCGCGCAGATGCTGCACCGCGCATGCGCTGTCGCACTGTATATGGCGCGAGGCGCACGCGCATATTTATTCATTGGCCACGTACGCTGATTCAATGCTAAAACGACTAGGCCTTTATCTCGTTTTTAGGGCTACCAACTCCATTTTGGGTTATGAATTACTATTTTATTTTTTACTGCGGTGACAGATTTATATATGTTCCTATAAGCCTCATGTTTTAAACATAAATCAACTTGCAGTTGTGTAAAGGCTGGTTTCCTAAATCAGTTTTACAGCAAATGAATTTTGGTTTTATTAAATTTAACTGCGTACAATTTGGGACCATTAACTGTAGGAGAGCCATACTTAGGCTCATATGGGCTGGTTCGACCGGAGTACCACGGCCTTACAGAACACCGGTGTTAAATGATTCGTTACGATTCACTGAGGAAGTGGGGTTACCGGAGGATCAACCCCAAATTCTGGCGGGGGCGGTGGTCGTCACTAGCCATCAGGTGGCACGTCTATTCTTGTGCCCCTATACCATATATGCTAAATGATACAAGGTACTCTGCTCTTTCTGAACTTGCCGCAAATACCACTTTACTTTCAAAGCTAGTTTCCTATTGCACCACATGTCATCGTATTTGCGAAAAGAATCTAAGAATAAAAACTTAAATATGCTTTCTTCAATCAGGACCAATTGCTTGTGACAAGTTGTGTCAGTAAATATGTAGCACCTAATAAACTGCTCGGCAAAGAGTCTCTTTTTAATTAAATTGCACTGGTACTTTAGTCTGAAGAACAATATTGTTATAGGCACATCAACTGGACCACTTGCAGAAAAATAATGATTTCCGGACTACGACAAATCCTGTTTTTGTTTTTTATTAATTTCGATCTACGAAGGATGGGGTCGTTCGTAGATCGAAATATCATGATCGTATCATATATATGTGTGTCGTTTACTTTGAAATTAATAGGACCTACATATTAAAAAAAAAAATATTTAAATTTCCTTGTAGTTAATGCCAGAAAATATAAATAGCACCTCCAGAATATGATAAGAAATTTGAATCGGACTTGTGAAAAACTGTAGTAAATTTAAATAGTATCTGTAAAAAAATATGTTTTTTGTAATATAATATTTACATGTGTAAATTTAGAAATTTGAATCGGACTTGTGAAAAGCTGTAGTAAATTTAAATAGTATCTTTAAGAAAATATTTTTTGTCATGAATTATTTACATGTATGGAAACTTTTTGTAAATTTCTTTAATGAAACGTAGTCAAATATGAAAGACAGTACGTATACCCCGCAAAGTGTAAAAATAATAATCGTCTGGCCTCACAAACGATTTTCAAATGACGGATTGCTTCAGAAAATCTTCTGTTTACAAGTTTTTTTTAGTGGCATTTTGTTTCTTGTCAAGTAACTTGAACATCGCGGCTTATCTCACATACTTGTTCACACGCACGGATTTGTGATGTCTGCTTTTTGTCTCTGGTATGCCTAGTGCAAGTTTCTAGCGGCGGCGGTAAGGTAAAAATATAGGCATATGATTTTAATACATAACAGTAAATTGTTGAATAGAATAAAATAAAAATCAAGTCGTAGTAGAACAATACGAAAAAAATTGTACCTAAAATTAAAAAAAAAATGCTTTTTTTCGTTTATTTATGCTTTCTTGAGCATTTGACACGCAGTCATAAAAATAACATTACAATGTTTTCTAACTTACATATTTTTAGAAGAGTACACATTTCATCTTGTGATGAATTGTGTGATGAACATTCTACTAGGCTAGAAAGTGTTCTAGCCTAGTGAGTTTTACTAGGCTAGAAAGTGTTCTAGCCTAGTAAGTTTTACTAGACTAGAAAGTATTCTAGCCTAATAAAATTTTGTGAAAGAAAAATAAAATATCTTATTACGTAATTTATATATACATTAAATTTTGATTTTATAACACGAACTTTAAATCGCGCGAACTTACAAATCAAACCAAACCGCGGCACTTCATTCGTACGCCACTAAAACAGAGTGAGATGACATCATACACTTATAAACCGATACACTTTATCTATCCTGCGAGCAATTAGGACGGGGTAAGGACATGGATGGGCAGGGAATGTTGGCCCACAGCACGGACTGTGCATTACCATAAGTATCCACATAAAATGTTTGGATCCCCAGTCGTAAAACACTTCGACGCTCACATAAATGATAGAGTGGAGGTTGATGTGGCCATCCGGTTATATTGTTTTCGAAGAATGAAATGTCTAATAATGAAATTTATTTTATGTAAAAGAATTCTTAGTGTAAACAGTGTTGTAATGTATGAAATTACATTTTACCACAGATTTTGTAATCTTAGTCATTCGTAACGTATTGTATCTATTTCTAATTACATGTCGGGTTTTTTTTAAAGACAACTCACGCACTAGGAATAAATCCTGTGTCGCGACACTTTGGGGACTTTACAAACATACATGAACGGACACAAATAACACCCAGACTCAGAAGAACAATTTGTGGATCACACAAAGTGTCGTCCCATGTTGGGATCGGACCCACAACACTCAGCGTAGTAGTAAGCGTTGTGGCGACCGCTTAAACCACTACGCCACCTGTGCAGTCAATTGTTTTTTTTTATTGCTAAATGATTAAAAAACCTTTATTTAAGCTGATACACAGAGGCTTTAACGCTATGCTACGAACAGTCTACTAAGCAAATATGTCGCGGAACACAACATTCGCAAAGTCGTCTTGTATACGTTATTTTAAATTTGCATTTGTTCTTTACAGGACGGACAGAGACTGTTCATGGGTGCTCCAGGAAGCTTCTTCTGGCAAGGTAACTTAGAGTAAACACAATAACGACGCTTACTATCTAATATAGACTGCATAAGATTTTGATTACACCAATTTAGAAATTGTAGTTGCGTAGAAAACTGCGCATGATGGCTGATTAGAACGATATGAAAAATCACTGATTGGTTTTTAATAACCTTCATTATTGAAAAATAATAATACAATAATATATATTACACTATGACGCAAAATTCAAAAAGGAAATTGTGTAAAAGGCTTTCCAGTAATAAAATCGAAATACTTAGAGAATATTAATTATCAGAATTGTGTGGACCCATAAGAAATGAAGTCGGCCTGAACAGACCGATTGGGGAATCTGACATAACTGACACTCGAATTATCCACAGGGCGATCGTTTTCAATAGATCCGAAAGAGTCGTTCTTCTACTATATGCCGAAAATACCGGAAGAAGGTAAACTTATAATGACGTATCGCCAGATTGACATCTTAACTCTAACAGTAATAACATAGAAAGGGTTCAAATCGCCTAACCCTATATCAATGCCTTTAAACATGGTTAATTGTTTTAAATTACATTTTTGTTGTTCGAGTAAAAGGATGCTTTTTAACTGTTTAACATTAATGTCGTCGAAACAATCGCTAACAGAATATTATTGCTTCTAATAAGCCTCAATGATGCTTCTAAATTATTAATATGTGCTTTTATTAAAAAGTGTCACTATCTGCGACCTGACACTTATTTTTGTTAAGAATTTAGGTTGATAATAATTATTAAAGTACCATTAATTTCTTGTGATATACTTTTTTGTTTAAATTCGTTAGTTTTACATCTTCAAAAATGTATTTTACTATTTATCTAGTGACTTATACTTGAACATTAAAAATGTATTTAAAATAAATACTAAAACCTCTATTGGTTACAGATTTGACAAATTATTGGTTTTTGTCGCTTTTTTCATCAATAGAGATTAAATCATGAGCTTTCCTCAAATCATGGTTGTAAGGTTACCCTATGGGTTTTTACCAAATACCTATCTCATGTCCAAAAAAAAATTCGAAAAACCATTACTGTCTTCTAAGTAGTAGATTATAAACGGTGTAAACTGCACGTGATCCAATATAATAGAATTGACTCCTATGTTTCATAGTACCTCTGTGCTAACATTTTATATATTTTGATGATATCATAGTATGCAGTCACTGTAATTCAACACATTTCGCTCCTCAATGCGAATAAGTCTACACCATTTTCGACCCATTGAACGACTGGCTTATTGGATATTACAAAACAAGCATGACTGTTTCAAACAATCATCAAAACATTCTCACTTCATATCGTCAATGGTGCAAAGCCCAGGATTGTATAGCTGTATTTTGTACATAGGAATGTTGATACCTCAGAATAGTTTAAAATATGGGTTTAATAGGTTGATTAAAAAGGTTAAACGATATTATAACAGCAAAAATGTCCATGCTTTAAAACTAAACAAATTAAACATTGAATTACGAATATGTGATTGGCTTTTGGCAGTCTAATGGAACACAGTAAAAACCAGAGGGAATAACAGATGAATTTTAAATCTTGACGTTTATAGATACAAAGGTTTGGCTATGTTTCATTAGCGCTGTTTGTCAAAATTAATTCCACCATGTACATTATTGCGGCCTCTGTAACATGGATTTGGTGATAATATAACATATTAAAATATCCCTGAATCTACACGCTTGGTAGGGAGTGACAACACGTTTTGTTACTATAATGCTTTTAACTTATTGAATGAAGGGTTATTACAAAAAAACGACAGCTGGAAGAGTAAACGCATTTATCACACACATACATATTTGATTGCTGATTCGCTTGAACATCATCTATTGACAGATCATGGAAAAACTCGATACATGAATGATTGCCGTTTTGTGATGTTTCGTTGTATTAATGACTGTTATTTTTGAACGATTTTGAAAAACTAAAATCTACTTTGGTTATTTATTTTCTTATTGATATAGGTTTAATTTAGCTATAATACTGCAAAATCGAAAATCATCTTCAATATTCTTAATTTGAAATCGTTCAATTTTACACACTCTCTCAACGAGAAAGACTAGAAAACTAATAGCAAATACAAACTTAATTATAGGTCAGCTGATGAGTCAGACCATGGGTAACAGACCCGCTCTAATCGCAACTCCAGAAGCCAGTCCCAAATATGACGACTCTTACATGGGTTATTCAATAACTGTTGGAGATTTCGCCGGCCAGGGTATCCAGAGTGTGGCTGTTGGTGTACCTAGAGCAGCAGAATTAAAAGGCTTGGTAAGTATATTTTTTAATACTGAGGTATTTAAAATCTAACATTATCAGTAATCAAAACCAGATGTGTGAATAACTAACCTAACGCCAAATGTGACATTTTCCAGGTTGTGCTGTACACTTGGGAATTAGAAAACATCAAAAACATCAGTGGCTCTCAGATTGGAGCTTACTTTGGCTACAGTCTTGCCTCTGGAGATATTGACGGCGATGGTTTCGATGACGTCATAGTCGGTGCTCCTATGTTTACTAGGAAGAAGGTTGATGGCTTCGAACATGGAAGGATTTATGTTATTTATCAAGATAAAGATAGAGTAAGAATTACTTAGAATTACTTTAATTTTCATATCTGTAAAGAAGAAAGTTAATCTTTCTTAGGAATTAGTTATATTTGTTTGTATGAGTAAGTGCAACTGGTAATATTTTCTTTTTCAGTCTTTCACGAGGAGTCATGCTAGAACCGGTGAAGTGTCCCGCGGTAGATTTGGTTTAGCTGTAACATCACTTGGTGATATCAACTACGATGGATTTGGAGGCAAGCACTTTTTATTCAAATTTATTCTGTCCTATTTTCAGATTAATACTTACGTACACTTACAAGCCTGTAGACAGACGTGTATTTAAATTTAGGTGTAATTTTAGTGTCACTTACCTAACAGGTGGCAAGCCTATGCCATCAACCTGTAATTCATGTAGTTATAGATATTATTTGTGCTCATCACACACTATTTATCTTACTACTACCTTAGCTTAGCAGTCTCGATTGCTTACCACTAGATTATAATTATACTTTTTTCATTTGCAGACATTGCTGTTGGAGCTCCATACGGCGGCGAGAATGGCCGCGGTGTGGTCTACATCTACCATGGCAGCGAACTTGGAATTTCAGAGAAATACTCCCAGGCAATCACAGCTGAAGAAATTTCTCCCACTCTTAGCACTTTCGGCTTTTCGTTATCTGGAGGAGTTGATCTTGACAACAACAATTACACGGACCTTGCTGTTGGGGCTTACAAATCTGATAGTGTTGTGTTTTTGAAGTAAGTTTACTACAGAAACATTATGATATTCAGCTGCATTATTCATATTCTTCCCAGACTTTGATATTGCATAATATTTAATAGTTTCCTTATTAATGTCGTCATCATCATTAACAGCCTTTACTAGTCCACTTCTGGACATAGGCCTCACCTTAGAAAGGAGGTTTATACGCTTAAATAAAAATTATTACTGGATTTAATTTTTTTTTATCTATCTAGTAATAATTTGGGCTGGCATATAACACAAAACATATTTCCAGGTCCCGACCCGTGGTAAAAGTATCTGCAGATGTGAAGTTCCTCAGCGAAAGCAAACTCATCTCACTTACAGACAAACATTGTCCTATGGCTAACGGCACGAAGGTCGCGTGCGCGCAGGTCATGTTCTGTCTTACGTATGGAGGCGTCAATGTCGACCAGCAAATTAGTAAGTGTTTACCATATTTTTCCATAAAAAGACCGACTTGAATGGTATGTTGCAGTGAGCCATGTTCGACTTGCATCTTTTTTAATTTCATTGTCATAATATCTACTATGGAAAATAAATCTTTAATAAAACTATGTTAATATTCACACAGAGTCACAATAATTTCTTATTTCTTTCCAAGCGGAAGGATATATCTGCTATTTCGGTGAGTGGTCGAGGTAGTGCTGTGGTACATATAACGCATGTACCCACCATAATGTCACTTATCACATTACGTCATCATGCATGCATGTCTTAAATGTCTTAATGATGGTAATGGTAGTGACGTTATTACCTGTAAATATGTACAAATAGACATATATGACACTTTTTAGAAGTTCGGTGTTAGCAGTACTAGTGTAGCACCACAATTTAAATTGTTGTACTTTATGTCATTTATATCGAATAATAGCAGTGATTTTTCTTGTTTTGAAAAAGTCAGCAGGACCACAATGTATTTAATATTTCTATAATAACGGTAGAACAACTTAAAGAACTCCAAAAACATGTTTTAATTTATTATTCCATCCCATTTTTATTAGTTTCTGTGGTCTGCTATAAGCTCTTCGATATAAATGACGACAACCAACCATTAATACCCACTAATATATATTTTTCATTACTTTACAGAGTTTGAAGTTACCTTAGACTTGGACTCACGACAGAATATAACAAAGCGGCTCTTCTTAGTGGAAACAAGAGAGACGACATACAAGACGCAGATGCAGCTCACACAGGGACAACAAGAATGCAAGAATATCATCGTATATCTAGATGTAAGCGGCTTTGGAAAGAGCACCAAGCACGTTTATATAGGACCTAATGCCTTCTTTTTACCTTTCTCACTTATCTGGTATTGAATTGAATGTAAAAGATAGATATTCCTTTAGTTCAATTATATTGATTTTAATTGATTTTCGTACTTTTCCTGATCATGACTTATTTTTTATTTGTAGGAGGAAATTCGTGACAAACTGACACCGATTGAAGTGACGATGTCATACGACCTGGTGTCCCAGCCCACCGGCAACATTGTACCGCCTGTGCTGGATCAAACCAGGGGCATATTCCATGCAGATTCGCTCAATATTATAAAGAATTGTGGTCCCGACAACATTTGTGTGCCAGATCTTAGGGTAGCTGCTACAACGTATGTTCTATCTTTTTTTTTTTTTGTTAAAATTAAATATTTATAGAGAATATTTTTCATGTATAGCACAAACGATGGTAAATTTCTTTAATATTTTATAACACAAAGAGAGAAACGTTCCACCAGGCTAGCTATTGATAGCTGGTCAATCTTGCCCCAATGATCAATGTTGAGAACGTTTAAACTATCGCGTTCCATAATATATAATTATGAATTACGGAAATTGATGCGCTCACTTCAGTACATTAAGTAAATACCTTTGAAATGCCTGACATTTCGACCATACTGCACTGGCCGTGGTCACAGGCTGACTTCGTCAGGTTAATTCCCGTAACCATAGTTATATAATCTGGATAAGTTTCATAAATGCTAACCAACACAAGAGCTTTCATTGTAGGATGCAGGATCAATGTTATTGAGCTGTTTGGTTCATCTTCTCTAAGTGGTGCTGAAATAAATTTAGTACTCGTTTTTAGGTAGGTATTAGCACAGCACTGGAAATGCCCAAAGAAATGTGAAGTAACACATATCACATCGTCCATGTTATGACTTTCCATATATAAACTGTATGTGTTTTTTTAGCAGTACCTTGATTTTTTCGTCATGTTTTGTTTTCAGACCAACAATAAACTACATCCTGGGTTCAGGCGAAAACATTAACATCGACGTCAAAGTGGAGAATTCTTTAGAGGATGCTTTCGAAGCTTCATACTATTTACTCATTCCTCCTGGAGTTACATACTCCAAGATGGAACGACTGGACCAAGATAACTCCAACACGCCCATTTACTGCTCCATCAGCAATAGATTTATTAATGGAAATACTACATTGAAGTGTGACCTGGGTAACCCTATGGCTAGTGGACAGAAGGTGAGTTTATGCATCTCTTTCAAGTACTTTATCACTAAACAATTTTATCGATTTTTATTTTTCTGATGTACCATTGCCATGCCATATGTAAACTGTATAACTGTATGTAAACTGATATTACCATGTGTAAACTCGATACTCGACACATATATACACGGTGATTTTATAGGCGTTTTGGAAACGAAACATTTTAATTTGGAATCATAATAATGTTGGCTAAATAAAAGTTTCAATTTTAATATTCATTTTTACTCGATCGACTTGGAAAGTAGTAATGGACTGATTATTCATTCCTTATCTTATATGAATGAAACACGTCCGTGCGCGTTTCCGCGCCCGCTGCGCACCGCTGACGCTAACAGCAGCTGATAAAACTATACCTATAGGCGCGAGCTAGCGAGTACTTACGTAGATAGACTTCAGTTTGTCCTTCATACTTTACACGGGCTTAGGACCGTCGCTAATACCTATTTTATTTAAACTTCTTTTCGATTATTAACCACGATTGTTCTTTTCACAACAAATCAATTTATCAACGGACTGTAGGTATAAATATTTCAGGCGAATTTTAAAAATCGGAGCTATTTACAGAATAATTAACTTACATACCTATTAACAGTTTATTTACACTATTTACACTTCTCTATATCGAAACAACTGCTCAAAATGGAGTCCGCCGCGTTCAATACACAAACGTTCACGTTTAATGTAATTGTTTTTTAATTTTCTTAATGTGTCTCTATCACTTTTCACTTTATCAAAAGCGTCCACTATCGCAATGCGTAAATTATCACGGCTTTCATATTCCCGTGTATAAACAAGTCTTTTTATTTCCGACCATAAGAAAAATATCCATTAAGTCCGGGCTTCTAGGTGGCCAAGGCACTGGCCCTCCTCGACCTATCCACCGATCACTAAACTCATTGTCCAGGTATGCAATCACTACACTCCGGCGAATAATAATTTATTGATGCCCTTCTTGTAAAAATCAGCTGGACGGGAGGCAACAAACTCTTCAAAGGCATTTTGTACTGCCTCTCGGGAATTGAAATTTTTACCCCATACTGCGCAACAGACAGTCTCCAAGCTGCAAGAGCTGGGGTTGGGAGCTCTCCCTCATCCGTATATTTTATTAAATTATCGTTATATATAGCTTCTGTTATTGATAAATAATTCAAAATTTTCTTTTCCAAAACGCTTTCAAAATCACCGTCTATATATATATATATATATATATATATATATGTGTGAACAACTATGAATAACTTTAAATTGTAAAAGCGTTTGGCTTGTATATTCTGAACCATTTTTGCTAGTTTTAAACTCCAGAAGGATTCCGCACTTTTATTTATTCCTGTTTTTAAAATTGATTAATTCTCTTCACAGCTTAATTTCCGCATCATCCTAGAAGTTGATGCTAGAGTCACATCACTCAGCTTCGACATGGAAGCCAACTCGACCAACCCTGAACAGAGCACTACGTTTGACAATATCATGCATATGAACATTGCAGTAGTAATTAAAGCTCAGCTGTCTGTAATAGGGTAAGCAAAAATCCCTACATAGTAGATATTTCGTGATATTTTATGTTGAGATAGTAGTTTTTTTTATGGAATAGGAGACAAACGAGCAGACGGGTCACCTGATGGAAAGCGACTACCGCCATCCATGAACGAAGTCTACTTTCTGTATCCGCAGTAGGCTCAAGACTAGAAAAGAGAGTCTCAGTGTTGCGAGCTCTCACTAGGTCTATTGTCCCCTTGATAGAAAGCATATTTTAAATGAATATAATTTAATTTCTAGATCAAATCTTGGCTAATATTATATTTATGCGAAACTGATTTTGTTTATTTATAACGCGTTTTTAACATAACTAGTTAATTGATTAGACAAATGGTAAATACCTACTTTATATCCAAAAAAATAGCTATAGAACAGAAAATAAACTAAACACGAGCAATGATGTGAGCGAAAGCTAAAGAAGATGATATCACTGTTGGCATTTTCTGGTCACCGACGCATAATAAGGTTGACATTTAAATCTTAATTACAGAACCTCAGATCCGCCAGAATTGCACTACAACGCGTCTCTATATGAAACAGAAAACATTAAAGATGACACCAAACTGGGACCACAGGTCATTCACAAATACAACATCAAGAACGAAGGACCCTTCACCGTTGACGAGACAGAAATTTACTTCATGTGGCCTTACCAGACTCTTGAAGGTGAGATTAAGAAAATAAGTTAAAAGGTCGGTGTGGTGACGGATTAAGAATACAGCGTGTCACCACCCGTATTCATCCCGTGGGTGTCGTAAGACGCCGACTAAGGGAGAAAACTACAGAACAACAGCACTGCAGAGAGAAGGAAAACTTGACACAAACCCTATACCAACCCGTCTGGCCAGCGTGGTATAGTAGGCCCAGCCGTGGACTATTAAAGGCTGTTGATGATGATGATGATAAAAAGGTTATGAAGAACTCTACTGCAATTTTTTTTTCGGTATTTGAGATCTGAAAACTAAATATTATATATTTTTTATTAAAAGAAAATGTCAGAAAATCAAAGAAGTTTATATGTTCACTAAAGTATAATAAAATCAGTTCTTTCTGTTACACGTGGTTGCATACTCTATAAAATATTTAATCTCGACTAGTGAAGTACGAATTCAACTTATTGTATTTAAATGGAATTTGATTCTCTATCCCAATCCGTTCCATGATACTACCATCAGACTTTTTATGTTAGTCAGTTTAGTTATGTAAAGGTCGTATTGTTCAACATTTTAATAGATTTTGGTATTCGTCTAATCTTGCTTGAAATCAGCTATGACTGGAATTTAATTATCTCCCTGTTTAACAACAAAACTATACGAATTTCAGGTGAAAATCTGATGTACATGCTGGTCCAGCCTCAGTGGTTTGGTAACGTAGTGTGCGACATCGCGCGCCATGTTAACCCCGAGAATCTGTTTGTGCAGAATCCTTACGCGTTCCTGCTCACTAAGGAGAAAGACGGTAAGTGATATATTCAATGAATTAATTTTTGAAACCAAATTTGATTTAACTGATGTTGACCTTAAAGATACTCGTATGCTCTACTTAATACAAATGCAATAACAACAGCAGAACAAGAATAATGTATGAGCAATACCAAAAGTGAATATAGTAATATTAGCGTTAAAAAATCTTATTTTCCTGCAACCGATAGTTTGAGATACAGGTTAGTAGGAGTTATAGGATGGATACCTGCTTGATCTTTCCTCCAACTAACTAATTTCCTGTTTGATTCCCTACGGAAAATTGACCCTGATTTAGGCTCGGCTACATGAATGCACCCAAAATGTACATGTTTAATTAGAACTCTGCCCATCCCTTTAGGGATACAGGTGTGAGTGTATATATGTGGACCAATAGTTACGTAAAAATTGAATGTAGCATATCTGGTTAATAAGGTCCATTTTATTTTACCATAATAATAATACCATAATATCAAACTGAATGTTATTCATTGCAGCTATTGTAAGCGGTGATCAATACAGTGCTGGTGGCAGTGGATATTACGGACAAGGTAGGCATTTTAGACCAATTTATTGTATCACGCAATAAAACTCAATAAGATATGTTGTTAAAGAATACATTTTTTATTGCAGTTTACTGGGAACAATCTTCCAGTGGTAGCAAGGTCAACGGTGGTGACTCCTCTAGTACTTCTGGTGGTCAATTCAGCCAATCCCAAGGTCAAGGACAGTTCAATACCGATCAAAGTTCTAGCGGACATTTCAGTAGCAGCTCGAGCTCTAGTGGTCAATTCAGTGGTACTCAAGGAAGTACAAATTTTGATGGAAGTCAAGCTGGTGGTCAGTACGGGGGCCAAGGTGGTCAATCAGGGAACTCATTCTTTTATAACAAAACTTATAACTCTTATAACGAGGGACTGAGTGCCGAAGAACAGGAACAGATAAGAAGGAATCTGGCAGCAGTAGCACAGGGAACCATCAGCCAAGGATCTAGCGGTAGGTATGGCCAAGGCAGCCAGTCCCAAGGTTCAGGCTGGACGAGTCAAGCAGGCTCTGCTCAGGGAGGATTCGGCCAAGGCCAAGTTGTGAGGGTAAAGAACAAAACGATTATCTACGATGAGAACCATAACATTATTTCTGAGACTGAGACCAGCACTGAATACGGGAATCTAGGACATGAAGGAGAACCTGGTAGCTCATTCAGTGTGTAAGTGTTTTGAAATTTACCATGAACAATATCATTTTATTAAATGTTGCTCTCTAAATTCATTATTAACTGGGGTTTGCTCTTTGTTCTAGATATGCTAACCAAGGTGGCGTGAATCAAGCTTCTTCTCAGGGGTCCTGGCTTGAGAATTCTCAAGGATCTGGTACTTATGGTGCTGGAACCTATAACCAAGGATCTCAAGGCTACAATCAGGGCTCAGGCAGTTACAGTCAGAACTCAGGAAGCAATGCTCAAGGCGCTAGAGGGTCGGGCCAGACTTTCGTTCACGGTTCATGGGCAACAACTGAAACAGTGAATCCCGAAGTAGCCAAAGCTGATTCATCAACCTTTAGAGGATCGTCCAGTGTTACTGTAGTTGGTGATGAGGAAGAAGACAGTCTTGAAGGGTTTGGAAGCAGTGCAGCATATAATCCTAATAATGAGTTTAGATATGGTGTCGCTGATGTTTCTGGAAGCGGCAGTAGCCAAGGTAGTGCTGCAGCTGGAGCCGTACATAGTGGAAGCCGTCAGGCTAGTGGTAGAAGCTATAATTCTGGAGGTGGTACTTACCAATCTGGAGGTGGTTCCTACCAATCCGGCGGTGGTGTTTACCAGTCTGGTGATGGAAGTTACCAGTCAGGAGGTGGGAGTACCCAAAATGGTGGCTCATACCAGAGAAGCGGTAGCAGTTACTCTTATTCTTCGCAGTCAGGTAGGCACATTAAGGGTTTTGACTTTAAATTGATAACACTTGAATTTTACGTTATAAAATTTCAATGTTTTATTTGGTACTTATTGTTTACCTACCTTACTTACCGTACCTTTGTTTTTCTTTTTATATGTTCTTGTTTAATATTAAAATGTTAACGTAAATTTATTAAAGCTCATTTCCATCGCCAGAGCTGTACATCTATCTACTCATCAAACTGTTTTATTGTCATCAACGTAAACTATAATTTCTCTGCTTCGAATTGAAAGCGTTTTTAATCTATGTTTGTATATTCAATTCTCTTCAGGTGGCCAAACATCATATGGTTCTAATTCTGGAAGCAGTTATAGCTCTTCTGAACGCCGAGAGCAGACCAGAAGACGGCGTCAGGACGAGGTTAGTTTTTTTTCTTTTTTTAATATGCTACTTTTTTGAGCTCTAAAGCATTCAAGCTAAAGAAAAAATACCTTCAGATTCCTTGCCTTCATAAAATCACTTTCATCACAGGTGGATCCCCAACTTAAGAAAATCTTAGAGAAGTGTGAAGAGAAATACAAATGCGAGGTACTGAGGTGCACCACTGGACGTATGAGGAAGGGAGAAGAAGCATGGTTCGCGTTCCGATCCAGGATTAATGCATCGGTGCTTAGTGAAGTAAGTGTTATATTATACCTACCAACCTTATTTTAGGTAGGATATGAAACATTACTCTTTACTTACATATTTCTTAGTGATTTTTTCTTTAATATTAAAGTTAATAGAATAAACATAAGCCTTCTTTATATTGATTATTGAGATTATTCATTATATTATTATTTGACGACCGAATGGCGTAGTGGTTTGTGTAACGGACTGCTATTCCAAAGGTTGCGGGTTCGATTCCCGCTCAAGTCAAACATTTGTGTGCATGAACATTTAATGTTTGATTTGGTCTGGGTGTTTCTATGTATAATAAGTATGTATTTACAAAAAAAAAAGTATTTATGTATTTATATCAGTTGTCTAGTACCCATAGTACAAGCTCTGCTTAGTTTGGGACTAGATGGCGTTGTGTGAATGTGGTACAATATTATTATTATTATTTATTAGTGGCTTGGAACACTTACAGTACTAGTGCTAATTGTATTTGTGAATAGTATTGTGTAGTTCTTTTCAATTATTTCATGTTACAAAAAAAGCTTCATTCTATTCTGTGTCGTAGCTGTGACCATGGTCTCTAAAATCTTAGTGGGAGGTATCGACGAATAATTCTTGTTATGACTAATATTAGTACTAGTTGAGTCCTTCGTCAAGTATTTATAGTACTTAGCTAAATATTTTACCATTGTGCTTGCTTTATATTATTTGCTTTACATCAGTTAGTGCAATATTCGCAAAAATAGATCTGGATTTTCAGTTTATTAAAGTGTTTGCTTGTAGTGTCGGCTCGATGGACCAAAGTATGATGTTTGTAAATATTTTTACTTAAATCTAGTGCGTATCTTCTGCCAAAAATCACAATAGTGTTTTAGAGGTACACTGTAGGTAAAGTTTTAGACAATTAATAGAACAATGATGAGAGAATATTTCTGTGAAGTTTCAAGAAATATAGTGCTCATTTCTTGAAACTCTAAATTCTGTTTAGATATCAAAAGAGCGCGCGGTGATTCTATCGACGCTGGCGGCGGCGCGCGTGTCTCGGCTGCCGATGGTGGGGCGGCCGGCGTCGCCGGGCTGGCGCACGGCCGAGGCTTCGACGGTGGTGACGCCGCAGCTCGAGGCACTGGACAGCGGCGGCATCCCACTTTGGGTCGTCGTGCTTGCTGCCGTCATCGGTGCACTGCTCCTTCTGCTGCTCATCTTTTTGCTTTACAAAGTCAGTGGCTGAACTACAAATGTCAGAAGTAAATTATGTCTGTCTTGGGCCCTTCCACACTTACGTTATAACAACAACGTTACTTTTAGAATTCAGTCGAAGTGTTTGAAAGGTGAACAATTTAATTAAATTCCTCTGAAGTTGGTATGATTCAGTATCACAAAAGCGATGCGATGTTGTAACACTTCTGTAATGGTTATCAACCTATCTTATTTAAAGAAATGTATTTATTATGTAAAAAGGCATCAAAAGTTCGAGTAACGGAGACGGAGACGGAGGTCCGGATTAAAAAGAAATTTAATCTCGATTCAAAAATATCGCATGGGTGGTACATGGTGTGATGTGATGATGCAGTAGTTTTATGATGTTAATTTGTTTTCCAGTGTGGGTTCTTCAAACGCAACCGCCCTTCGGATCATGCAGAGCGACAGCCTTTAAACGGTCGTGACGAGCATCTTTGATATCCAACCACGTCGCTCGGTGTGACGTCCGATACGGGCGGAACTACCGATCGCACGTCCGACACGCACGACGCCTCCGACAGCTCGGCCACTGACGCGGCTAGTGACGTCACTAGCCGCGACTCAACCAGCTTCGACCGGTATTGACATCACAAACGACAAGTCATTGTTTATAAGTTTTAGCTGTTTTAGTGTCGGACTCTGACGTCACGGTTGGTTTCTATGTAGTGTAGATGCGATGTTGTTAATTTATTATTTCTTTGTGAAATTAAAAAAATGTGATGTAATTTTTATCATTGTTGTCAAAATCGGACTTAATGATAAAAATTACACTGGTTGAAGTCCGAAACTAGTGTAAAAAGTAGGAGCCATATTTATTTTACAACGCAATAGTTTTACCTCATGATTTTATAACGAATTTTTGCAAACCAACTTTTCAGATCTTTTTAAAAAGAACTAGAAAAGTTTACATTTGAAGTACATTTAATTTAGTATCAAACTAGTCACGGTAAATATTTTTCGGACTCTATTTAAAACTGAAAAAAAAAGAAAATGCATAAGTGACTCGTGTGTGTAACATTCGTATTGCTTAAATATACTCGTAGATAATTATATTTGAGCAACACGAGTTTCAACAACAAATAATTAATTTTAGACGGATGAAAGATTAAATCTTGAAGTGTGATAAGTGTAAAAAGTGTGTATGTAATGTGTATTGTGGAGAAATGTGATCTAAGTTAGGTATATACTAAATTCCGTAGATAACACAATATACTTAAAGATGTAGCGAATAGTTGATTATACACAGTTATAAATAACAAAACGCTTCGTTCTTTATCTATTTATTAGCGATATCCATATATCTAACGGTTAAACTTCAACCGTTTTGAATATCTTGTGTTATTTCAATGACCGACATTACTTGGGCTGTCATTGTACCGTGATAGAGCAATATACGAGCATGTACTGGATCTTAGGTTTAGTTTAAAATTTTTAGCTTTCTGCACTTCCTCTACATATAAACATTAAGTGTTCCAAATACGATATATATTATAAGATATTGTGATATTATATGTATCCATAAGCTATATTTATTCAAAAGTTGGTATATATTTGTTGCACTTATTAATTACATTAAGTGTTTATGTCAAAAATATCAGTCAACTACTCGGTACATCTTTGATAACAAATACTTCGAATGCAGAGAATGATCATATAATGGTACTAATAAGAATGCTTTACATAATTAAAATTTATTGCTATATTTTAGGAGGCAGCATCTCATTGTAGCGATTTTTTCTATACCCCTTAGGCTATACCGGGTATTTAAAAATAAATAGTTATTGTAATACCGAAAACGGTTTTGGAATTATAAACAGTTATTTTTAATGTTTTGGCAGCTATTACAGGTTGAGTTTTGGTTTTTTGTTTTGTTCTATAGTGGCTTTTGCACAAAACGAGTAAATAAATTTATATTTTAAATACGGAGGAACATCTTAAAACCTTATTAATGAGGTTAAAAGATTTTTTTTCTAGAATAATGTGAGCTAGAACTCCTACGAAACTTTTCGAGTATTTTTCTTTAAATAAATGCAATCTTAGCAATAAATCACACTCACCTGTAGATAAAAAAAGTATTTTTAAATAAGTAAGTTGTTAGAGTGCCTTAGTAATACATACATATCTTGATAGCCTAAATTATGCTTAGAAATTCCTAAAAGTGTATTAAGTATGTGCCTTCTGAAACTGCCAGTTACTAATTAATTATTTTAATGTAAATATTATACTAGAATTTTTTGTGACGTTTTTTCACGAATATGATAAAAGATTTTTTTTTTTATTTTCAAAATGTATATACATCATCAGCAGTGAAGTGCTTTGTTGGAATTATCGACTAAAACCCCATGTTGTTACATCACAAGACTCTTGCACAAGACCCATTATGCCAAGGGTCGTGTGACGAGACATTAATTGCACCCTTGTCGATGACCCTTCGTTCCTTGGATGTTTCGGGATAAGGCCTCGGTGCAGAAATCCCCAAGAACCCGATCTGACAGCCACATGTAATCACAGCAATACATGTGGCTGTAATCAACTCTTTAGGTGAAATGCCAACTTTATAATTTATGACCTGAAGTAAATAATTAGAAATCAAGTCTTAGACTATTAACATTATGATAATAACATGATAATGTACTTAATAAGTGTAGTAACTATCAAAAAACGCAAAGTATTTAAAAAAAATTTGAATAGGTTTTGGACTTGAGTTTTATACAATCTTTAATATTATTTTGTGAAAAAATGCCACATTTATTAATATTGCATAAGTCATTGTTAAAATTTTGTAATTATTTTTAATTACTTATTTATTTTTTACATTGTAACATTGAAGTATACGGCTTCTACATATAGTTAATGATCAACTAAAATCTTTTAGATGCCATAAAACTGTAATAGTTAATATTTTGGTTGTTTTATGTATCTATAATAATATAAATAATTTCTTTGCATTTACCAAAAAAAGAAACGAACTTGTAATAAAATTTTGTTTTTTATTTTAAAAAATCTTGTTTTACTGTTTTTTCGCCTCCATCTTTATTCCAAACGAGAAATAACTTAATATTTTAATTACTAAAAAAAAAACATTTATTGACTACGATATTTTTTTCTTATACGACCTTTACTTATGGCCACAGAACATCAAATGTGTTACTAAAATTAAGAAAAAATAACGCAACAATAGACAGCGAATATTTTAACTAATATCATTAAGGAAAACAGTGATGGATATCATGATTCCAAAAAATTAATAATAATAAAAATAATAATATATTCTACCTCATACACACAACGCCATCTAGTCCCAAACTAAGCAGAGCTTGTACTATGGGTACTAGACAACTGATATAAATACATATATACTTTTTTTTTGTAAATACATACATATTATACATAGAAACACCCAGACCAAATCAAACATCAAATGTTCATGCACACAAATGTTTGACTTGAGCGGGAATCGAACCCGCGAGGTTTGGAATAGCAGTCCGTTACACAAACCACTACGCCATCCAGTCGTCAAATTGGCTGCGGGTCTCGCGTGGATCGCTTGACTAATGTGAAACACTGTCAGATGTAAAACATCGAAGAAAAAAAACAAGCAAGCAAACTCACGGCCACCCTTTAAAATCACCAGATACAATCAATACTAAATTGTATTACAGCACTGTTTTGTCATAAAGTTCAGTAGGTGTACTTATAAGTCTCTAAAATCATAACAGACCAAATTTCAAAAAATCATGATGATTGATCTGCTGTTTTACAACGTTAAAAATAACGATCACGCTTTTGTTTCTCATCTTTTTGTACTAACTTTTCCTCGTTGCTGTCAGCAGACACGTCGACTGTATCTTTAGTTTCGATTTGACCATATTCTACGCTGTTATCATGTTCCATTTTCAGTGTTTCATTATCAAACTCACTTTTGATGTTATTATTAACATCTAAAGTAATTTTCTTGTTATTGGAGCTACGTTTTTCATAATTTTTGGTACCATCATTTCCGTTCATAAAATTTTTCACTTTACCAAAAAAATTGTTAAAAGCATGTACGACACCGTTAGCTGCATTTTTAAATTCCATTGATATTTTATCCGTTATACTTTGACTGTTTTTTTTAGCTCTTGGATGACTTGTATAAATTTCATCATAGCCAGTAATGACCGTATCTGGAACTGTTTGTACCATATTATTAGCATTCTTTAAAACATCATTAGGTAAATGACATTTTCCACGTGACACTAATGTTATTGACACTATAATCACTAGATATTGCTTCATATTTTTTTATAAAGTATTTATAAACACATAATTGGTCAACAAATAAAACGTATTCTTAATTTATAAGTTTATCCACTCATAAAATCTGTCAAAATGTATACCACACTTTATTCTAACTTTTTATTAAGCACGACAGTTTTTTAACAAATGTCACCATTGGATAAATTGTACATCTGAAACTTCGTCCATTCCCAAAAATCATTGATTCTTGGGATTTCTAATGCATGCGTGCAAATGCTTGGATTTTTCAACAATGAATTTCTAGATTCGCGGTCACAAAAATAATTTCTAAGTTATTTGTGTTGCAAATTGCGGTTGATACACTAAACTGGTTGTTTTCACTTGCTACAAAAGACCAGTCGATGTTTAATCAGCGTTGAAGTTAAAAAGCAAAAATAACAATTTGAAAACAATGCGTTGAACTATTGGTAAAGTTTTTTGTTTCTTTCCGGTAAAAAGGCACAATATCATCCAGTATAACTAGAAATTTAAACATTGCACGCGTTTGTTTTTTGGTGGATCATGAATGTTCTATGTCTCGAGTTACGAGCATTTGTCTTCAGTTGTTCAGCAAATTTTCATTGACATATACGTCTATAGCTTTACCTTCGTAGGGTACACCTGGTTCTTCGGCTACTAGGTGTACCAGCTGAGACGCCGTACGGTTTTTAGTAGGTTAGAGTCCAACATGGTGGGTAGTGTCCGAGGGGATTTCCGCACAGACAAAAAAGATCTATAAGTTTATGATGCAATTTTCCAAGTTATTTATTGTGTATTTAAAAATAGAAGAGAGTTGGAGTTGGAATAATAGAACGGGATGATGTAAAATGAAAGTCTCTTTGTGAATCGTTACGAAATTTAGGCATCACTTGTAAGGGATTAAAATTGTTTAAATGCCACAAACTGTTAGTACTTAGTTCTTCTTTGTTCTTTAAAGAGAAGAGAAGAACTTCCACACTAGGAATATATCCTGTAACGCGGGCGACTTTACAGACATACATGAAATGGACACAGAGAACACCCAGACTCACAACAACAATTTGTTGATCGCATAAAGTGCTGTCCTATGTGGGGCACATATTGTTTAAAATATTTAGCTTTGCACTTATGTTATACTTCTTCTAGATATTCACATTAAGTATAAAAGTTAAGTAGAAGTTAAATGGCCATTGTTCGGGGATAATAATAATAATAAAGAGCGCACGAGTCACAGAGCGCATTGACTTTCTGAAACAGAAGGTTTATGCATGGGCAAACCGTATACGAAGGTATAAAAAAAGAGTGGACCGATATACTCAGAATCGCACATTCCAAAGGGACGAGAGGTGGGTTTATAGACGGTGGGCGCAGCCTGATTTAGTGAGTGATGGACATTTTCCAGATGTTAAAATTACTAATACATTTTGGCGTAACATATGGTCGATGCCTATCACTCACACAGAGGGTGAATGGATGCGAGATGTCGAACGATCGTGTGAGTCAATCAATACAATGGAGCCAGTATCAATTTCAGATATGGATATAGCTTATGCAGTTCGTTCGCTACCGAATTGGAAGTCAGCAGGACCGGACGGACTGCATAACTTTTGGTTAAAGTGGCTCCTTAGCTCACATGTACGTTTGGCATCTCATTTTCAATCATGCCTAGAATCAGGTTCGCTTCCATCTTTTATGACTACAGGACTAACTCACCTAGTCTATAAATCTGGTAGTGCCACGGATCCCAAAAATTATAGGCCAATAACGTGTCTTCCGACGTTATATGAATTACTAACGTCCATTCTTAGAATGAAGATAACATCTCATATTACGAACAACTCTATTATATCTCACTCTCAGAATGGATGTAGAGGTGGGGCACGTGGCACTAAAGAGCTCCTTATTATTGACATGACTATTAACCAACAAGTTCGCCGTAACCGAAAAGATCTGTCGACTTATTGGATAGATTATAAAAAGGCTTATGACTCTGTACCGCATACGTGGCTCTTGAGGGTAATGGAGTTGTACAAGATTGATACAACTCTATGCATTTTTATGGAGACATGTATGCGGCAATGGAGAACGGTTCTTTGCTATCCAGGATGTCGGCAATCTCAAGGCGATGGCGAATTCCAGGGTGACAGTTTAAGTCCCTTGTGGTTTTGCTTAGCTTTAATTCCTCTCAGCACTATGTTGGAGGGTTCAGGGCTAGGCTATCGTTTGCAGAGAGATGGTAAGGTTATATCCCACCTCCTTTACATGGATGATTTAAAACTGTTTGCTTCCAGTAGTTCCATACTGATGAATTTACTAGAAATAACTAAAACCTTTAGTAAATGTATCAGGATGGAATTTGGTGTAGATAAGTGTGCAAACATGCATGTAAAAAGAGGCAGGGTTGTGGAGTCTGATAGGTTGGAACTCTCAGATTCCACGCACTTTACATGTCTCTCAGCTAACGAAACTTACAAATTTCTGGGTATGTCACAGGCGTTAGGTGTAAATGAGTTGACTATGAAACTAGCCGCCTGAAAAAAGTATTAAATAGTCTTTTATCAGGTGGTAATAAGGTGAGAGCCTATAATGATTGGGTCATACCAGTTCTAACTTACTCTTTTGGCATACTTAGATGGACTCAGACTGAACTAGATACCCTGGATAGAAGAGTTCGTACATTGCTTACTGCATACCGAATGCATCATCCACGTTCATCGGTGATGAGGTTATATATTCCACGAAAATGTGGTGGTCGTGGTTTTCTAAATGCCAAGACCCTCCACAATCGTGAGATATGTAACCTTAGGAATTACTTCCTTTCTGTTAATGTGGATATCCATAGGGATGTAGTAGCAGTTGATAACGGACTCACACCGCTTGGTCTAGGTAAAGAGAACTGGCGCAAATTTGCAGTACTCAACATTACTGATCGTAAGGAGATATGGAAGGGCAAAGAGCTGCATGGACGTTTTTATCGAGCCTTGAACAGGCCTGAGGTGGATCAACTAGCGTCTGTATTCTGGCTTCGATTCGGTGACCTCTTCGGGGAAACTGAAGGTTTTGTCATTGCAATTACTGATGAAGTTGTTATGACGAATAATTATCGGAAGTATATTCTGAAGGACGACACAATAGACATTTGTCGGGCATGTCATTGTCCTGGTGAAAGCCTTAGACATATAATTTCCGGTTGTTCTCGTCTTGCCAACGGCGAGTACTTGCATAGACATAACCAAGTGGCCAGGATTGTCCATCAGCATCTTGCTCTTAAGTATAACCTTGTGACTGTAGAGTTACCGTACTACAAATATGTGCCCGACCCAGTTCTTGAAAATGGTCGTGCAACGTTGTACTGGGATCGCCCTATTATCACTGACAGGACTATTGTTGCCAATAAACCTGATATAGTGGTAATAGACCGATTGGAGCGCCGAGCAATGATTGTTGACATTACCATTCCACATGACGACAATCTTTTGAAAGCTGAAAAAGATAAACAAGTGAAGTATTTGGATTTAGCCCACGAGATTGTCGACATGTGCGATGTTGATTCGGCAATCGTTGTACCGATAGTCATATCGGCCCATGGATTAGTTGCTAAGAGCCTCGACCAACATCTTCAGATGGGATGTTCGCGTTAGGCAGTTGGATTAAGGGTCTGATGCAGAAAGCAGTTCTTCTCGATACGGCACGTATTGTGAGGAAGTTTCTGTCTCTGAAGTCCTAACCACCGATATCTTGGTCTCTGTACCCGATACCGATGGGATACTATTTTTTATATTTTTAAATGTATTTTTTTTTTGTGTTTGTTTATAAATATATTTAAAAATGTAATAATTTTATATGTATAAAGAATGAAATAAAGAAATATAATAATATTTATATAGATAAAGACTTGAGTGTGTGTGTGTGTGTGTGTGTGTGCGTGTGCGTGTGCGTGTGCATGTGCGTGGGTGGGTGGGTTGTTGTGCGACTGTGTGAGCCCTGCATCTTTCGACTGAGTTACTAGTAGGGTAAAAGCCGGATAGTTGCCCCACTTTTCAAAAAAGCTTTATATTTTTTAAATATTTACTTGCTGAAAATTATACGATATGTATTTCATAACATAGGTCTTTTATCTTCTATTATAGCCTATTTTTGTTAACATAATTTTTTTTTTTTTTTTTGTAAAAAAGACAACTCCCGCATTAGGAATAAATCATGTGTCGCGGGGGACTTTACAAACATACATGAAACGGACACAAAGTACACCCAGACTCAGAACGACAATTTGTGGATCACACAAAGTGTCGTCCCATGTGGGGTTTGAACCCACAACACTCGGCGTAGTAGGAAGCGGCGTGGCGACCGCTTAAACCACTACGCCATCCGTGCAGTCGAATTAACATAGGTTTTATTTAAATCCTGTTTTATTTGGCCTCTGAAAAAACGGATAGTTGCCTACTGTGACGGATAGTAGCCTAGCGTGGAAAATCTTATACTTGCGAGGCATTTTTCTTTCCTAAAATAAATATATTAAACAGTTAACTATTTATTTTGTTTAAAACAAGTTCTAAGTCACAGTAAATTGAAAAAAAAAACATAAGGAAAAAAAACTGTGCTTGCTCGATGAAGAATTTACAGTCACTCTAGGGGCAACTATCCGCAAAAGTAAGTAGGGCGACTATCCTTTTTGATGAGGATACTTGCCCTTTTTATTTAAAAAATAAAAAAAAACTATTGAGTAATAAAACATAATAAACATTGTAATTTAGACTCTAATGCATACAAAGAAACAAAAAGTTGACTGAAAGCACGATCAATAATAAAAACATTCAACTAAAATTACTTACCAAAATAAGATCAACGGCCGTCAGCGTTTTACAGCGGAAGATTTTTGCTCACACGGACAAAACACGTTTGCCTACTCCGATTGCTTACATGGCACT